TGGGTATGTCCCCATTGTAGTTAGTATCTCTCCACCTCATGTTTGTAGGTCAGATGGGAGCTCTCAGCCTCTGCTCCGTTACCATGCCTTCCTATCTGAAGCTATGCTCCCCACCATCACGGTCACGGACTCACCCTCTGAACATGGAAGTCACAACAGACAGGTTCTTCTATAAGTTGCCTTGGTCATGGTATATCTTCACAGCAATAGAAAAGTAACTTAAGACACACAGGCAGACATCTGTAATCCCAACCCTTCAGAGGCAGAAACAGGAAAGCCTCAAGTTTGAGGCACAATGACAGACTATCTAAAACAACAACAAACGAACTATAACCATCACATTAAATGAGCACTGGTTTGCTTGCTCCAGAGCGCTGCTAGCTGTTGAGGTTTGGTCTTTTGCTGTGTATTGTAATGCTAAATAATGGTCTCATAGCCTGGGTGCCCACAGGGATGAAGGAATCCACATGTACAATGTGACCTTGCCCCTTAATTTAAAAATATTTGTTAAATAAAGATGTCCAGAGCCTGTAGTTGGGCAAGAAATAGACAGGGTTTTGGGTTCCTGGGCTTGGGGTCTGAGGAGAGACTACAAGGAGAGGGTGAGGAAGAAAAATATAGAGAGAGGAGAAGATGCCATGGGGTAAGAATCTTGAATCATGGCCTTGAGGGCTGGCCAGTTGGAGTTACGAACAGCCCAGCTAGAACACAGCAAGTCATACTGTGGGGTTATTGGCAGGAAGTAGAGATAGTAGCTTGGAGGGTAGATACTGCCCTGCTTTACAGCGCTGATTAAGGCTTATTATAAATATAAAGGTTGTGTGTCTTTTATCTGAGAACTGAATGATCAAAGGTGGGGTAAAAAGCCCCAAGTGAGATTAAATAGTTTCTACCACAGCTTGTTTTGGAAAACCAGGTGGCCCATAGCACTGAAGACCTGAAATGACAAAGCTCAAAACTATACAACTGTCTTTCCATGTGAAATTCTTATCCATAAGAGATACATCCTGGTCTATAGCCCAGACCAATTATCTCACCATCGACCTCACTGTTTAATTATATGACATACAGATTACCTCCTTCTACATGAAGAAATTCTTTTGCCTTCATCACTGTATCCTTGGCAGCCACTCCAGTATATAATATATACCAGAGCTCAATAACTAGCCAACGATTCAACCTGATGAGTTCTCATTTTCTACTGCATTTATGAGCAAGTACCTCAATACTGAAATCACACACACACACACACACACACACACACACTTGTCCTATTTGAGCTCTGCGCTCATTTTATCATGAGTATAGATAAATTATAGTTTTTATGCATATGTCTCAAGATAGACTTCAAAATATATAATGTAGGGTCAGCTAGATAGCTCAGCAGGTAAAGACCTTGCCACACAGCCTTACAACCTAAATTTGAACCCTGAAATCGACAGGAGAAAAATCAACTCCTAAAAACTGTCCTCTGACCTCTATATTCACTCATGCTGTGGCATGTGTATGCCCATACACACACACAGGCTGACACAGACACAGCACAGACACACACACACAAAGACTACGTTTAAAAAGCTAAAGAGAGAGCCAAGTGTGGTGGTGCACACCTTTACTCCCAGCACTTAGGCAGAGGCAGGTGAAGGGCAGAGTTGGAGGCCAGTGATCTACAGAATGAGTTCCAGAACAGCCAGGCTACACAAAGAAAAGGAACGGGAAGAGGGGAGG